TAACCCAAGGACCCTTTTTCTTTTATCCCGGCATAACCCGTGGACCTCCCTGGCATAACCCAAAGACCATTTTTCTTTCATCCCGGCATAACCCGTGGACCTCCCTGGCATAACCCAAGGACCTTTTTTCTTTTATCCCGGCATAACCCTTGGACCTCCTTGGCATAACCCAAGGACCTTTTCTTTTATCCCGGCATAACCCGTGGACCTTCCTGGCATAACCCAAGGACCTTTTTTCTTTTATCCCGGCATAACCCTTGGACCTCCTTGGCATAACCCAAGGACCTTTTCTTTTATCCCGGCATAACCCGTGGACCTTCCTGGCATAACCCAAGGACCTTTTTTCTTTTATCCCGGCATAACCCTTGGACCTCCTTGGCATAACCCAAGGACCTTTTCTTTTATCCCGGCATAACCCGTGGACCTTCCTGGCATAACCCAAGGACCTTTTTTCTTTTATCCCGGCATAACCCTTGGACCTCCTTGGCATAACCCAAGGACCTTTTCTTTTATCCCGGCATAACCCGTGGACCTTCCTGGCATAACCCAAGGACCTTTTTTCTTTTATCCCGGCATAACCCTTGGACCTCCTTGGCATAACCCAAGGACCTTTTCTTTTATCCCGGCATAACCCGTGGACCTTCCTGGCATAACCCAAGGACCTTTTTTCTTTTATCCCGGCATAACCCTTGGACCTCCTTGGCATAACCCAAGGACCTTTTCTTTTATCCCGGCATAACCCGTGGACCTTCCTGGCATAACCCAAGGACCTTTTTTCTTTTATCCCGGCATAACCCTTGGACCTCCTTGGCATAACCCAAGGACCTTTTCTTTTATCCCGGCATAACCCGTGGACCTTCCTGGCATAACCCAAGGACCTTTTTTCTTTTATCCCGGCATAACCCTTGGACCTCCTTGGCATAACCCAAGGACCTTTTCTTTTATCCCGGCATAACCCGTGGACCTTCCTGGCATAACCCAAGGACCTTTTTTCTTTTATCCCGGCATAACCCTTGGACCTCCTTGGCATAACCCAAGGACCTTTTCTTTTATCCCGGCATAACCCGTGGACCTTCCTGGCATAACCCAAGGACCTTTTTTCTTTTATCCCGGCATAACCCTTGGACCTCCTTGGCATAACCCAAGGACCTTTTCTTTTATCCCGGCATAACCCGTGGACCTTCCTGGCATAACCCAAGGACCTTTTTTCTTTTATCCCGGCATAACCCTTGGACCTCCTTGGCATAACCCAAGGACCTTTTCTTTTATCCCGGCATAACCCGTGGACCTCCTTGGCATAATCCAAGGACCTTTTTCTTTTATCCCGGCATAACCCGTGGACCTCCTTGGCATAATCCAAGGACCTTTTTCTTTTATCCCGGCATAACTCGTGGACCTCCCTGGAATAACCCAAGGACCTTTTTTCTTTTATCCCGGCATAACCCGTGGACCTCCCTGGCATAACCCAAGGACCTTTTNNATTTTCTTTTCCGGCATAACCCGGTCATCTTTCCAACATAACCTGGCAATCTTCCCAATTTAGGGCTTCACTCCCTACTCCCAAGGGTACACAATCCTAATTTTTACTGCTTTCAATGAAAAATAGTTTAGATTTTTGTTGCAAATAACTCGCGAAATTTTCCTAGTGAAAACTGGGGCAGAAAAATTTCGTTCGTTTGTTTGTTTTGGTGTTTGAGCAGGTTTGCTCTTGAGGCACAAGATTCGAGATGACCAAAAGAATGAGTCTCAATCCAAAAATAAAGAAAAGAAGAAAAGGAACAAAAAGAAATGAATTCAAAAGGTTGAAGCGGAGAAAGATGCACACTGCTCAATATATGATTGAAGTCACAAGTTTCGCATGTCCCGCCTTGATCCAAAGCTGAAGAAAGAACCAACACCTACAGCTGACGAGCATCAAGATTCAGATCGGAGTCCACAGCAAGAACCAACTAAGACTCAAGATCAAGCTTTATGAGATTTATAGATAGGAATCTTGGAACTCATAGTTGATAGGCTTAGCTAGTTTAGCTTTTTATTTTCCATTTTTTGGTGTAATAAGGAGTTCCGCAAGCAGTAGCAGCAGCAACAACAGTGAAATCACAGTTTTTCAATATGTTTTTAATTTTAGGATTTCTAATTTAAAAAAAAAAGATTAAAAGAAAAGGAAATTAAAGGAAGAATTGGAGAAGGGGCTCATTTATAAAACTTGGGCCAGTTTTGCATACAAATTCGGCCAACTGTTCCCCCTACACAATTTAATTCCCTTCAGCCCAAACATTTCCCTCTAGAGCCCCATCCCAAAGAAAATCGGACCTGACCCACCAAAACAACCCACCCGTTTACCCTGAATATAAAACCTCCTTTATAATTTTCCCCCATTTTGAACCCCAAACCTAAGAAGTCAGATATGCTGCGCCCCTTTCTACTGTTCATCTTCCCCAACTCTCAACTCGCCCTCAACTCACCATTAATTCACCCGAGTTCACTCAAAATGGTCCCCCCCTCCACGTCATTTGATTCCCAACGGTTTTGTCAGTAGGGAGTACGAATTTTCTCTCCCAAATAGCACGATTTCGGATTCAAAAGGACAATTGTTGGACGAATGAGAGCGTGGATAGATGAAAATCGATCCATGCCTTCCATTTGTCCTAAAAATTGTTCAAAAATCAGAAGATTTGAGAATTTTCGAGGGTTATATATAGGAGGTAAGTCTTCTTTTTCTGGGGGGGGGGTGAAGGAAAATAAAAGAAAAAGAAAAAAATCAGGAGAAAAATCGGAAAAATCTTCAAAAATTTAGTAGTGAAATTTCTAGTGTTTAAAGCCTTTTCTTCTTCTGGAGCTTTTTCGGATTTAGCATCTTTTCAAAGACGAAAATATGAGCATGGTTTTGGATTGAAGATTAAATTGGAGTTTTTTTTATTGCTGGGGTTTGGAGTTTTGGCACTATTGGTTTTCTGTCCAATTTTCTGTTGCAGTTTGGATTTGTTTGGCTGATCTGTTAAGCTGCTGATACTGTCGCTGAATTTATTCTCCTATTTCAGAGTTTCGTTCGATATTTTCAGTTGTTTTTTGCTAATAGGTATGTTTCAACACCGTTGTATTCATCTTCTATTTAAATAAAGTCGTTGATTTCTGGTTTGGTTTGCTGAATGCTTGTGATAGTATGTCAACATGAACTTAAATAGACCTATTTTAAACGATTTATGGAGTTAAGTACTAGAGTTTTGTTAGGTCAAGATTTGAGGGCAAGCATGAAGCCAACCACTGAGGAAAAGAATTTTGGTCCCTGTTTATTTTTAGAAGTCAAGTTCCTGTATTTTTGAGTTTCTTTTACTGCAAAAATATTCCTTGTTCTACTGTTGACATGTGAGAACAATTGAAGTGAGTTTTGGTTGAGTCTGCTACATCACTTGGTAGCAAAATTGCATTAGTTTGGTACAGCTAACAATCCATAGTTTCCTTATTGTGCGCTATGCACACTTATGTGTATTAGTTGGTCAAATGGCCTAATTTCCCTGGTCTGGTGATTTCGCTTAAATATTTGGATAAATCTCATGAATTTGCTCGAACATAGTTGTTTTATTGAGTGCCTGTATTCGCTCTGTTCTTTTTCTGCAAAACTAGTAGTGTTCAATTTCAAGTTTGGCCTTAATAAAAATGGCATCAGATTGTTAGCAAAAATAGATTCACTTTGAGGATTTCTACAAAAATGGTAATTTAACTTAGATTTATCAATTGAAAAGGATGCTATTAGGAGCATTGAACGAAATTTGTCCTTTGGTTAAAGTTTTAGAACAGAACCAAGGCATTCATATGATGAACAATCCATAAAGTCATGCTATTTGGCATTGTCTCACTGACAGCAATATGTATGCATTTATTTGATCTTGTACTTGCACTTCTCTTTTCACAAGACACAATTACCATGGCACTTCAGCCTTGCATCCAGATGGATTTTTGAATTCCCAAAGTTTTAAGTTTATCAAGGTAAGAACCCCGTAGAATCACATTTGACACTAGACCTTCATATTTTTATGTTGCTATTTCTATTTTTCAAATAGTATTATCTTTTTTTGGTAAGTGTATCAATCTGTTGCTCTGTATAATTTTTCCACTCTCTACTTTGATAGAAGTTAGGTTCTCAAAATTTGTACCCTGCTCCTTGGTTATTGTCTCAGTCTTTTGTTCATTGGAATAGTTGAGACCTAAAATTCTTCAATTTTGGAATGGCCAATATGTATCAGTTCATAGATTTCATGCCAACTCAAATAAAATGCAATTTCAATTGTTGTAATTGTGTTTGGGAGTATGACTCCACTTTGGATGGGAGTCTGCCGATCAGGTTTGAAGATTGAATGAGCTTGAGGCCCAATTTTGTTATTCAACAATGTGGAGTTCATTTGGACTCACTGCCGTTCACATGCAAGCTTCTAAATTGGGCCTGTTATTTTGGGCCCATTCGCACCTCTTATTTGATTCATCAGATTCCACAAGACCAAAGAAAAACCTTTTTAATAATAAGTTGTAGTACTAATGTTGCTATTGACCATTGAGTAGTGTAGTAAAGTAATAATTTATTCGTTGACCACTTTGGATAAGCCTTGTTTGAAAAGCATCGTAGTTTGCTTTAGGATCGATTTAGACTAGTATCGTGATTGTGTATACGTTCACGTAACATAATTGCAAGTTTAATTCTAAAAATGACTCGAGGGATGCGTTCGCGCAACTTCAACTAAACTTTTCTTAATAAAAAATAAACAAAGTGTTATTAATTGTGGACACGTTCGCGTGACATGATTTTAACGCGCCAAAGGAAAAGAGTATACGTTCGCGTAACTCAATTCTTTAATTACGAATAAATCAAGTGATTAAAAGCGGGTAAAAAGATAATTGCACGTAGGTCCTAAAAATGAATAGTTAAATAATTTTAGCCAAGTATAAATCGCTAAGCAACCGTGCTAGAACCACGGAATCCGGGAATGCCTAACACCTTCTCCCGGGTTAACAGAATTTCTTATCTAGAATTTCTGGTTCACAGACTTTAAAAAATAAAACTTCCTCGACTTGGGATTTTCAAATAAACCGGTAACTTGGGACACCAATTAAAATATTCCAAGTGGCGACTCTGATTAAATAATTTAAATAATTCCATCTCGAATAATGTCCCTTTAATTGGAAAAACTCCATTATACCCCTCCTCGGGTGTGTAAAAAGGAGGTGTGACATATGTTCTCATTTTCGTACACCATATCTTCTTAGTCATATGCATGAGTCGTAATAAAAAACCTCTCTGGTCATATCAAACATTTCTGACTGCTAGGAATTTTGCCCTTAGTCTCTTTTTTGTCCAAAACTATAATGACCAATTCTAGGCTAGTCACGATCAAATTCTTAACTTTCTATATTGTAGGGTCTGACATTTAAATTATCATCATCCAACTTGTGGCTCAATTGCTAAGAATTAAAAATGAAATTGTTCTGTGAGGTAAAACACATTCGGATGCACAACCATGCATAAACATGTCCTTCAGAGATATCATTACCTTATAAATCACTTCCTACACAAGCTGGCGAGTCTTGGTTTTAATTCAGACCTAAAACATGTGACAATTTTGCTATGATTACTGTTCTTACATTTTCTCTTAGCACCCATAGGCATCACCGTTTACTCCCAAGTTAAAGGACATTGAATACACTGGAAATTGGAGATCTGGTAACTGAATAATTGATAATTGGCATACCGAATACCCATAAACTTGCTAGCTGAAAGGCCGCTAACTGGTAACTGAGATAAACTGATAATCATAAAACATGATAATTGCTTTTGTACTTTCTGATAAGATTATGCTCTAATCTGTACTACTATCCATTGCATCCCACTTCCAACATCCTCTCAAGTCTCATTTGTTACCAACTTATACTCCATAATTATACCCCAATGGGAATCATCTTCACTAAGAACTTGAGTTTTTTCCCGCACGTCATTTGGGCATTCGATACGTTTGGAGTTCGATAGGAAGAGAAGGATAACTATTGCTCTAAGCTTCATGGCACGATCTAGAGTAGAAAGAACTGAGACAATCCCGGATGTCTTGGTAGTTAACCGTTTATATGAGTGGACGACACACACATATTGTCACGCCCCAACGTTGGGAGGCACGACCAGTGCTCAATCGAGTGAACCCAACTCAATACGATTAAGGAAACCATGCTTACGTTTATTTAGACAATATGAAAAGTTGTACATTCATCATTGTTAGTTCATTTCATATCACAACCTTAAACCGTAGTTAAGTTCAAAGATTCCATACAATTGTAATTTAGAGAAAACAAGAGTTAGAATTACAGCATAGTCCATAGACCTATCCAACACCCGTACATAACCCACACAAACGTCTACGAAGCCTCTAAGGATACAAAAGACAATGATGGCAACGCCAACAACATGGCCCCAGCTATGCCTCAAAAGTAGATATCTATAACAAAAGATGTACAACAGAACCCCTTGAAGGAGAAAGGGGCTCACCAAGACTTTGAGAGGAGGATACTCTGCTAGGTGCGATCGGCACTATCCGCTATGGAGCCACCTACATTCATTTAAAAATGTAGCGCCCCGGCAAAAGGGACACGTTAATACCATGGAATAGTACTAGTATGTATAACTAAACACCATTTTATTAGAAAGCACTATCATACAAGAACAAGGAAATCAAGAGAGACAATCGAAGCTTTAACCGAATACCACATCATTAAATAAAGAATCATACAACTTTCACATGATTTCCATAACCTTAGTTTGGGGCATTTCATATGTTCATCATTGTTCACAATACCACCGCTGTCTTGAGCGGAGTCTGATCACGACCCAATCAGCTAGGTTGCCTCATTTGAGACATATACCTCAATCACCATCTCATTTTCCTTTTTCGGGATTCAATATCAGCACATTACCACCATGTGTGCGGCATGGTGTCCGATCACAGCCAGATCGTCTAGGCCGCCTTACCTAGGAGTTGTTCCTTTCTCATTAATCATCTCATTTAAATTTTTATTTCACATATATCATATCAATTCATTGGCACGTAGGGCCACAATTTCCACATCATGTCCACTTTCAATACAAACATTGCAATTTAGGATAACAGGTGCAAATAAGAGCAATTCAAGTGTAAACATAGATAAGATTTCACACAGTTGGCATGACAATCTCAGTTTAAATCCTGACATTGAGGTCTAGGCATTCCAACACATGGTTTATATTCTTTACACATCTTTAAATTAGCAAGAATAGTATATTAAACATTTTGAGGCACTCCTATCACGTATACACGGTTGCAAAACCAATTCATGTGAAATAACAATCAATTCATCAATCCAATTTTAGTCTTATCATATTTGCACATACACCAACGGAGCTTGATTTCTAATAAAAGGGAGTTTTAGCCATACATACCTCAAAGAGTTTTCCCCTATAATACACCAACACCTCTAGCAATAACAATCTATAAGGAGATAGCATAAATCTATTAATAATTAGGAAGATTACCCATGGTGTAACTCTCTTAGGAATTTCATCAAACACCTAACATGTGGAGTAGACTACAAGGTTTAGAAATGGCAATTCCTTCCTCCCTCAACCAATTTTAACATGAACTACCCATATTAGTTCTTTAACATCACATACTACAACTTAGTCCCACATGCATGGCCTATTTCTAACCCCCACAACATATTTGAACCTTTAACCTCTTGCATGAAATTTTGGAAGTAGGACTTACCCAGATGGAGGACAATCTATGGTTATCTTCCTTGATTCCTGAAGACTTGAGCAAGATTTGGATGATTATGAAGCTAGGACCCTCCTTTCTCTTTCTATATGCTCTCATTTCTCTTTAAAATAAGTAGAAAATGACCCCAAATGAAGCCCCTAAACCTATTTATGAAAATGGGGTCGGGTTATAAAAATAGAAAAAATAAACCTCCGAAACCGAGTCTGCAATCGCAGAATGGACCGCAAAACAAGATTGTGGGCTGCAGAATGCATCGCAAAATAGGTGCCCAAAACTGGGCAACACTGGCCCAATCTGCAACAGATCTGCGATCGTAGAGTCAAAAATGCGACATATTTGCGATCGCAGATTCGACATAGGATCGCATTTTTCTAGTCTTTGGTAATTTGATCATAACTTTGTGTAGGAATGTCCAAATGATGAATGGTTTGAAGCGTTGGAAACTAGACTCAAAGACCTTTTATTTGATAGGTTATTAATCACATAAATCCTTATATATTTAGATATGCTCGTTCAAAGTGTGGACTAGTTCAAGTACCTTTGGAATCTTAGCCTATTATGAAATTTTCCCATTTGGCTTACACTTAGGCCTCTTCTTGGACCCCACCTTACTTATTATATGACTCATACACTTGTTTACCAAATCCAATTCACTTACATCATATCTATAGCACATAAAATATTATAATTAGTCTACCTGGCACCCCGAAATCCTATATTGCTTCGCAAAATTTTTCGGGGCCTTACATCCTCCCCCGCTTAGGATCATTTGTCCTAGAATGAGAGGTAGAGCCTGACCCAACATAACATATCTCTTTTCTATCCTACCTCAAGTCCCTATATTTTGACTAACTCCCAAAAATTTTCAGAAATTTTGGCAGCATCTCCTTTGTAACTAGGCCTATCCACCTGTCAGAGAATCACCCAAAACTATCCTAAAAACTCATCCATAACTCGACAAAGCACCACAATGTATATACCCATAACGCTAATGCTCAGAATCACAAGAACTATATTATCATAATGACACCTGAACATGGACTGCACATTTTTAAATCATAACACCTATAAGGTACCTTTCAAGTCAAAGCTTATTGATATACAATCAAGCAAAAATATTTTCCTTCCACGACACTTTCGGCCTTTCAAGGTGGCCTCCTCGACTCATAAGTTTTGCCATACCACATTCACGGAAGCAATCCCAACCCCTAAACTTATCTAACAAGGATGATAGCTAGATACCTCGCATAAGCTAACTATCCATTAACATTCACCTTCAATAATTTACACCAGGATGATACACAAATGATCTCCACCTACCTTCTTAGACATAGACATATGAAAACACAAATTCATGAGGAACAATTATGGGGAAACATCATACTCCTAGTGTGACCTAATGGGAAATGTGCTTATGTACCCTTCATTATCAATTCACATAACATCTACAGGGGAAAATTTTGAGAATAACCGGTTCACCCCACTGAATGCTAAATCTCTATGC